GTCGACCAAGATACCCAAATATTTATAGGAATCAACAAACTCAATGGGGACACCATTTGAGGATAAAATCAGAGGAAGAACTGCTGGGACCAACTTCCTATTTGAAAAAAGCATCCCTTTGGTTTTGTCGGCATTTAGGACAAGTTTGAGGCGAAACAAATCTGTCTGGATGTTGTTGAATGCAGATTTCAAAAGCTGGAAAGCCTTAGCAACAGTTTTAGCTCGACAATAAACAACTGTGTCATCAGCATAGAAATGTATGGATGCATTAGGGATGTTTTTACCTACATTATGTATGTAGATTGCAAAGAGGGTGGGTCCTAAGCATTAAGTGTAGAACCACTAGACTGAGGAACAGCTTCTACCCTGAGGCTGTTAGACTCATGAATCTCTAACTAGAATAATCAATGTGAAAAATCACATCATGTTGCTGCTGATCTGTTTCATGTTGATGTGTTCATGCGTGCACATCTGCTCACAGACTCATGTTCATGTTTGTGCTGATGTTCAATGTTTTATGTTATGAGTGCTTAGTGTATATTTAGTTGATGTTTTTCTTGGTTCATATCTTAGATGTTGTTACTGTTTTTCTTATACATTTTATTGTTGGATGTAACTGGGACCCTGTGTACATAATTTCGCTCCACCACATGTACCACATGAGGTGCGAATGACAATAAAGAAACTCTGACTCTGACTCCAAGACTGAGCCTTGTGGTACACTATTGTTGACTGTTAAATAACTGGAGGAAGTACCATTATGTTGAACACATTGCCTCCGGTCTGAAAGATAGACAACCAACCAATGGCGTGATCTGAGAAACCGATTTCTGAGAGTTTATGACACAAGATGTTATGATCCACAGTGCCAAAAGCTTTAGACAGATCTAAGAAAAGTGTAGCACAATAATCCTTAGCATCCAGTGCTTCAACAACGTCATTAAGAACCTTCAGTGAAGCAGTGGTTGTGCTGTGTTGTTTCCTGAAACCAGATTGATGGGGAGGTAAGATGTTAAATGAGTCCAGGTCATTTTTGATTTGAGAGTTTATCAGTTTTTCTAGAACCTTGGGTAAAATGCAGAGTTTAGAGATTGGTCCATAGTTGTTCAGTGAGGTGGGGTCTCCTCCCTTCAGCAAAGGAAGAACAAAGGCTGTTTTCCAAGTGTCTGGGATGGAGTTTTGTCTTATGGAGAGATTGAAGATGTGGGTCACAGGGACTGTGATGATATGAGCAGCCAGCCTTAAGAAATAAGGTGGAAGTTCATCTGGACCTGCAGATTTTTTAGGATCCTGATATATATTCATAAATTAAACGGGTTCTTTCATTTTTCTGGACTGTATATAACGTGCATTGAATTTAATAAAATGTATCGTGAGACGTTATTTATCTTTGACCCATCAAAATGAATGTGGTCATTTATTTACAGAATCAAAGTTTAACATCAAACATTTACATTAATTTGGCACATTGAAAAATAACAACATGGCTAATTTTAGCGAGCTATACAAGTGATTGATTATCCACACGGCGGTGGATGAGAACTTTACACAGACATTTCTAAAATTATCTGGAATGATTTCTACTTGATAGAAGAATTTAAAGAGGAAAGATGAAGTTTAGTGGGAGAAAAGATGGGTGAGGGGGTTTGTTTATGTCGGCACTCAGAAACAGCACTCTTCGGGTTTCTCAGCTTTTTCCCCGGTACACTTAGGTGGCAGAATTCAACTCTTTTACCCGGAGATGTCCCCAGCGGTACAAAAGTCCATTCAATGCACCCTTTCAGCGTCTCCGTAGGAACAGCTGTGAATCGTCCGAAGTAGTGACGGTATTCCGTTCGACACAAATTCACCTCAGCAAGTGGACTTCACATGAGTGGAGTCCGTCAGAGTTCCACCCAGATGTGGAAGAAAGTTATAATCCCATAAGACTCGGAAGAGCTCTGTGGTCATGTAAGGACCTTCCTGTTTCCCAGCACGGGAGCTCGACCGCAACCTCGGCTCGACTCAACTGGAACTTCGACCCAACAGGAACTGGGACCCAACAGGAACTGTGAGACTCTGTGAGACTCCGTGAAACTCTGCCTTAAACTAGGAAGTACAGACATTTTAAAGAGCTCTATTTCCGGTTCATTTGGGAGTCCCTGATTGGTCAATGTCGACCAGACAGGGGTGTGGTTTGTGACGTAAGAGGTCACAAGATGTCAGAAGACAGCAAGAATGTTATGGAACAGATTGAAAATGTTTTCAGACAGACGAGAGAAATGTTTGGGCGAGTTTGGGAAAACAGGTGCCAGCTTCTCTATTTACGTCTGAGAGGATGTAAAAACAACACAGCTCGTTCCAACACTTGTCTGCTTAGACTCCGACCTTGGACCAAAACTTACGCTGCTCATTCAAAGACAGAAAATCAGAAAATGCATAATTACTCTGTAACAGACCTTAACATGAATTCTAACTTTGCATGAGGATTAAAAATAATCATTGTTACTGTTTTACAGTTAATAAAAATTGATTAGTTCACTGTAACATCTAAAATGTTTGAACTAAAACACTTTGATTATCAACATTTGTAAAATAGTAATGATAATAGAAAAGAGAGTGTTCTTTCACTTGAATTTTCAAGAAAGAAAGTCTCAGGATGGGTCAACCTGTATTTCTGGATTCAAATCAATGAAATGACAGTTTCTGTCCCACAAGGTCAAGTTTTGACATCAGGTCAAGTTCACTACAATCTATTAACAGTTTATTGACCTCACTGACTGAGAATGGAGAAAAAGAGAAGCTGTGATTAACTGAGGATTGACTTGTAGGAGGGATTTGATTTGTAGAAGTTTGGTTATTAAGTGAAGTGGCTGATCTTCCATTAGTAACTGTATCAAATAAAGAACCAGAAGCAACAAAATGTTTGAAACAGTTCAGGATCTCGTGCTTATTTGACACACAGGAATAGAGTTAATGAGAAGTTGTGATGGGAGGTCAGATGATTGGGGGGTGCCTGAGAGAGATTAGGGCTGAAACGATTCCTCGAATCATTCGAGGACCTCGATTACAAAAAATCCTCGAGGCAAATTTATCTGCCTCGAAACTTCGTTAATCTGTTCACTTTCATTTTTCTAGCCGGACGGTTTTTGTGTTACACAACGCTAGCACTTCCGCTAGCGCTTCTGCTTTTGCCTGTCGCGCACGCGTGTGTTTACAGTTATGGAGGGAAACTGAGAACAGCCCAGAAAACGACAGAAATTATCCAAAGTTTGGGAACATTTTAAATTAAACAGAAAAAAATAACAGCGCAATGCATCCACTGCAAAGCCGAACTCTCATTCCACAACAGCACGTCATCGATGTTGCAGCATCTGAAAACACCCGCTGTATGAATCAAACTCGTCCGCAGCTGGGAACAGGTATCATTTATGCTCTCTTTGCAAAATACGTGAACCTAAATGTATGATAATCTGTCATGTTATAGATGTAAAATGAGGCATATTTTTGCTAACATAACGTTACACTACATCTA